GTCTTGGATTGTAGACTAAGTCCTCTACATTAAGAGTCTTAGGGAAGATTAAAAAAAAAAAAGTAACTTTCAGTTTTGAGCATGTGAATCTTTCATAAATCTGAAGATAATCATGAAGATATTTCATCAGCAAAAATGTACTGATCATTTGGTTATATACTATTTTGTAGACACTGTGTGAGGGGCTAAATGGTATACAGAGAAAAGAAAGCCATGGTTTCTACCCTTGAGGAATAATTGGCCTTATAGGGGTTAAATAAGGAACTCTATAATCTCAAGCAGTACAAATGCGAGAAAGAGTACTGTAAACAGGTCACTGCTATTCAGAGGAAGCAGAGAAGAACAAAGGATCCAATTGAAAAAAACACAAAAAGGGTGTTTTCTATAGAAGAGGTTAGTATCTATCCTGAGATGAGTTTCTATTAAATTGATTATTTCTTTGAATAGTCAATGTGTGCCCAGGCAAGAAGTCAATGAGATTACAAAGAATAGACTTATCTGATCTAACCGTAGTATCTTTTTAGAAAAGAGATGGAGAAAATGCCTGGATTTGAACAAGTTACTAATCTTCACAGTTTGCAGACAAGATAGAGAAACATGAGCATGATGGCAGAGTTGACAGACTGATAAATATCTCACCTAATTTATCCCAGGATGAACATGAGAAGTGGTAACCCTATTCCTGACACTAAGTGGGCTGGACAAGACTGAACTCTGGAATCAGGAAAACTAGGATCTGGATTCCAGCTTCCAGGTTCATCATTTACTATTTACTTGTATGAATTTGGGCCAGTTACTTACCCTCTCTAAACCTTGGTTTACTCATTGTTAAAATGACAATAATTATAACACCAAATTCTTTGGGTGTTGTGAAAATTAAATGCAACAATGATTTCAAAGTTCTTAAATACAGTAACTGGCACACTTTTCTGGAATTATGTTAGGCATCATGATCATAATCATTATTATTAGTGATATAGAAGGAGGTCTCTGGTGGGCTGCCCCATACTCTGTCAATAGATGCCTTGGAAGAGGAAACTGACACACAGTTTCAAATTTGACATACACAGCTATAAATTTGTTCAGGCATCATCCTACATTTCTGTGATTTATATTTTGCTTGTATGGTTAAAATTTGCATTTATTTAGATTTAACTCCATATTTCCAACATTGGCTGATTGGTTTTCCTTTCTAAAACCTTTAAGTCTGCCTTCTAACATGTTAGCTCTCCCTCAGGGCCATTTATTAATATGGTAGATGATAGCTCTACTTACAGAGACAGGGAAGACTCAGGAAATTTGTGGCTGGGGTGTGAGAAATAGAAGAATTCTATTTTGGATGCATGAAATTTGATATTCCAAAGAAACATATAAATGGGGTTGTCAAGGAAGCAAATTGGATCTTGTAGTCTGGAGTTCAAAGGGCAGCTATGACCTGGAGCTATAAATTAAAGAGAGGGCTGGACAGCATGATGATTGCATTTAAAGCTATGGATGCTTAAATCACATTAAGTGAGAATGTAGTTTGAGGAGAGTATTAGGAACCAAGTGCTGAAGAACTCCAACATTTAGAGGCCAGATAGAAAAGGGAAGAACATGTTAAGGATTCTCAGAAGGTATTGCAATTGAGTTAAGAGGAAACCCAGACAAATATGTTGTTTAAGAAAATTAATTTAGGAAATTTTTCAAGAAAAAAGCTGAGTCAACTGCAAGAGGTCAAATAAGAAGAGTTTTTTCAAAATTTGAAACTTCTGTAAGAAGAAAGCTAACCAAAGTTCAAAATCAAGCAGAAGATGGGAGTATGTTTCTGCAACTTATCTAACAAAGGATTAATATTTGGAATATAATAAAGAACATCCAGAAATTAATCAGAAAAATAGAACATAGTTTTCAGACAAAGTACCAAATATAGGAAGGTGCAGTCAATAACTAATTTTAAAAAGGGCCAATCTATCAAATCATCTGGGAAATGCAAATAAAATGAAAGAGCATATTTCAAAGTAGTATATTAATAAAAGATGCATAATATCCAGTGAGGGCAAAGAGTAGCAGATACTCTCACAGCCTGCTGATGAAAATGCAAGGTACTATGGTGCTCTGCCGTGCCGAGTCGCTTCAGTCGTGTCCGACTCTGTGCGACCCCATGGACAGCAGCCCACCAGGCTTCCCTGTCCAAGGGATTCTCTAGGCAAGAATACAGGAGTGGGTTGCCATTGCCTTCTCCAATGGTGCTCTGGGAGGTCAGTTTTATGGTAAGCCTAACATTCTTAAATGCACATAATTGTCAATAGTGCAATTTCACTTTCAGTAGTTATCTGAAAGGAATACTGGCACATGCACAAAGAAATGTGTTTCAGAGCAGTAAAAATAGTACAGTTTGTAATAGCAAAAGATTGGAGACACCTACATATCCATTAATGGGAAATAATTAAATAAAATGTAATATGTATTTTCAGTACAGAAGATTATGTAACAGTTAAAAATAATGAGTTAGATCTATATGTCTGAGTGGGATGATCTCTCAAATGCATTGTTAAAGAATAAAAAGCAAGATCCAGAAAAGTACACACAGAATGGCTCCATTTATGTAAAATGAAGGGAGAAAAAAAATCTGTGAATCTGTATGTTTTTATGAATGTTTGTAAATGCATTGAAAAGATTATAGACTAGTGGTAATTGTTGTCTAGGGGCTGGGTTAGTAGGATAAAAGCTGACTTTACTTTTCATTGCTACAGGTTTTATATTTCATTCATTCATCTGCATTTGTTGATGTCCTACTTGTGGGATTTTTAGGAAAACACACATTTTTCTTAGATTGAGTTAAAATAGTCAATCTGGAGAACTAATTCTATGATTTGTTAAATTATACATCAAGCAGCATATTGTGCATTTGTTACGTCGCAGGAAATAAAACGGGCAGGATTCCTGTCCTTGCAAGGTTCACACTCTTGTGGAGTCAAATAGCTTTCTCTTCTCTGTATAGGCTACCTCCACTCTTACAAGATTCTTCACCTCCACAGTGAAATACCTGATACCAATTTCCTGTACTTTTCATGGCCTCAGGAAGAAATAAATATAAGGAACAAAGTGTGAAGGATATATACATAAGCCATCTCTAAACTGCTCTCTCTGCTTAACAATCATGCTGCAGATTTCCAAAAGGAGGAGGGATAGAATAATATAGTATTTGTAAAATAGGTTTTCTGGGCTTCCCTAGAAACCCTAAATTCTATGACTGTTAGTGTGGGGAAAAGGCACCAGTTCTAAACAACTGTCTTAGTAAAGGCACTGCTAGAACAGACTCTCTAAGTAGTAAGCAACTAAGCTTAAATCACTAAAAGCTCTCTGGCACCCACACAGTTCTAATACACAAACTTCACTTTACTGTAAGATCCTTTCTGCNAGGGGGGACAGGGATGGGGAGTGCATGTAAATCCAGGGCTAATTCATATCAATGTATAACAAAAACTACTGTAATGATGTAAAGTAATTAGCCTCCAACTAATAAAAATTAAAAAAAAAAAAAAAAAAAGAATGCCAGCCTATAGAAGTATCCTTTGAGGCCTTTCTACCAGCTAGAATCTCAACATCATACTAGGATTTAACTGCAAGTCTGTTCACACCAGTAACAGAAAATTGAATTTATGTTTCTGAGAAATCTCTGAAGCAAAGTATTGATATTTCATAGAAATTCCTATGTTTTCTTCTTTTCTTACACATGCAAATGAAAAGTCCCCAATTTTCAGCTGCCAAAACAGCTAGATATTGTCATCATCAGAAAAATTAAATGCTTGTCTCAGAGAAGGAGCTGCTGTGTGGAAATTCCTGTGCATCTCAGGACAAAGGAAAAAAATGTTGTTAATGATTCATCTTTGCTAAAGGATAAATGTACTTATCATACATGGCTTTTCACAGTTTCACAGCTAAGAAAAACTGTAAGCCAGGGCAGCAAGAAAATTATCAGAGTTGGGAAAGAGGCATCATGCCTAGTCACTGAAAATCAACTCCAAATTTTCTCCTACCTCCATCAACCTATGAGACCTTGGGTAAATCACCTGACCTTTCCACACTCTTTCATATTCCAGTGCCTTCCTCATGCTGCTCATTCTATCAGGAATGCCTTCTTTGACATCTCCTCCAAGGCTGAATTCTTATAAAATGTTGTTCTGTGAAGTTTTCCCTCATTCCCTTAACCAAATCAGCTTCTTTCCTACTCGTATCCCCAGTCTACATTGTCCATAGTTCCATTATATCATTTATCACATGGCATTACTATTGCACATTTATCACTTTGTTTAATTTTAGCTTATCATGTTATTTTATACCCATCTTATGGTATCAGGTTATATGCTATTAGTTCTACTCCTACTAATATTTACAATATTATTAGTAGTATTATGAGCACTTTCTATGTGTCAGGCCCTATATGATTACCCCTAATTGTCATAAAAGTCCTATATGATGGTGTTATAATTATTACCATTTTTTACAGTTGAAAAAAGTAAAAATCAAGAAAGATCATGCAAATGATTAGTAGTGGCACTGAGGATCAAAATAAAGACTATTTTACTATAGCTTTAATTACTACCCTAAAATAGTACCTGTAAATAGGAGTAGATAATATATACTATATTCTTACTAGGTGTCAGATTCTGTACCACATGCTTTATACATAGTAGCTAATATGATTCTCAAAAAAGGTATAGAAATTGTGATTATGATTTTCATTTTTTAAATGAAATTAAAGGTTCAGGATGGTTAAATGACTTGCCTGAAGTCAAAGAACTCTGGAGTATGGATTTGAATACAGGACACTGTCCCCCAGTGCCTAAGTGCTTATCCACTACTCTATTCCATTAACAGATGGGAGAAGTTTATTTTAATCTTTGAAAATACTACACAAATTTTTAAGAATAATCCATCTGGAAACAGAAAACTCAAAAGTTACCTCTTCTGAGTCATGGAAGTGATCAAAATCTAACAAGCCCCAGAGCACTCACCTTAGCACATGTGTGGATCCATTAATGGTTGTGGTTGAACAGGGGACAGTCTGGCCCAGAATGGAAGGTCTTCGGTAGCGTTCATCATCACAGCAGAGGATGATGAGGAAGGCACGTCTAAAAGACTTATTCAAGAAGGCGTAGAGAAAGGGGTTCAACCCAGAATTGATGTAGCCAAGCCAGAGGAAAGCGGTCCACACCTGCCCAGGAACAGTATAGTCTACGAATGGATCCACAATATTGGTGACAAAGAATGGAGCCCAGCAAAGGCAGAAGCAGCCCATGATGATGCACAGAGTCTTGGCTGCTTTGGTCTCTGTCCTCATGCGATGAGTGCTATGCTGGTCTGTTGGTTGGAGCCTGCCCTCTGTGGGGGCTCCTGCCCGTTGTAGCATCTGGATCTGGTGAGCATGCTCCTTAGCTGTGACATAGATGCGATAATAGGCCAGCACCATGAGGAGAAATGGGATGTAGAAGGCTACCACGGAGCAGGTGATGGCATAGGGCTTGTTGACCATGAAGATACAGTACGTAGAGTTAGAGTTCTGCTTGAACTTCCTTTTTTCTATCTGAGAGTTAGAGGGAAAGAGCAAGTGAGGAAGTAGAGTGGGGGGAAAGGAAGAAAAAAGTGAATAGGAAGAAGCAGGAGAGGAATGAGAAAAATTGTAAGAAAATACAAAGGATGAAAAAGAAGAGAAAAGGATGATTTGGAAGGTCGAAAGAAAGAGGAAAGGAATAGAGAAGGAAAGGGAGGGATTGATAAAAGAAAAGGGTGAGGGGAAAGAAAATGAAAAAGGTTTATCAGCAAAACTTTTGTTTTTCTTCTAATAAGCCTACAGCATATAAAACCATGACGGTAGAAAAGGAATATGCTTTTGGCTGCTTTGGGTCTTCTTATCTCTCAGTATTTCCATAAAAATCTTCTAGACTTTTGATAGGAACTAGAATAGCATAACTGAGGAAAAATGACATTTTTTCAATGTTAAGATTTCCAATTCACAAGCATGATAATTCTTTCCTTTATGTCTTTCAGAATTTATTTCAGTAATATTTTGCATTTTTATATAAACATCTTTTGCCAGATTTAACCTAAATATTTGCATTTTTATTCTAATGCAAATAGTACTATGCTAAATTCATATTCCAAACTGTCTGCTGCTAATATATAGAACTCTGAAAAATTTTTGTATATTGGCTATGTATTCAACAATTTTGTTAAATTAGTAACTAATATTTCATCTTTAGATTCTTCTGAATGTTTTCCATGAATAATCATGTGATCTGCAAATAATGACAACTTCATTTCTTTCTTTCTAGTCTTAATACCATTTTTCCTTGCATTTTGAACTTAGTAAGATCTCTAGTACAATATTGAATAAAAATGGTAACAGTGGACACCATTGTTCCAGTCCCAGTTTTAGGAGGGGAGATTTCAATATTTTACTATTAAGTATGACATTTGCTGTCAGTTTTTTGTCAATGCCCTCTGTTTGAGAAAGCTTCCTTCTATTCTTACTTTGATGAAAAATTTTTTAATTATGATTGTATGTTGAATCTTGTCAATGCATTTTTGATAGTAATAAGATGATCATGTGGGTTTTCTCTTCTTTCTTTAATTCATACAGTGGCATATAGTGTTGTACTACTGGTATAAACCTCACTTGCCTTGAATACTATGATATACTAGATTCATCTTAGGAACTGAAAGACTTTTCTTCCACCTATAAACTCTGCATGCTGATGGCTCTTGGTTATCAGTCTTCTCTAGGAATAGATCTTGGTTGAAGAGAGCTGTGTAACCCAGTGACACTTCCCCTCCTGAGGTCAGCCTGCATCCAGTGTGAACATACATGTGAATACAGATATGAATAAAAATATGTATGATAAACAATATGCTATTTCATTCATTGTGTACACATTTAGTATCTTGTCTTATAGTATATTGTAAGGTTATAGTATACCTTCTTATTGAATTGACATTATTATCATAATAAAATCTCTTTATCTCAGTGTTACTTGCCTCAAGTCACAGGAACTGAATCCTATATTTCACCCAGGAACAAAGATTCATGATTTGCTAATTCAGTATTTGCAGCAACTTTATTACTATGAATAACAAGGATCAGCTACACATGTATAGAGAACACCTGGGTTATGCTAGTTTCTCTCTAGGCCAATTCAATGTGCAAATGAGTGAAAGATATGAAATGCAATTACAATATCATGGAGCAAACACTAAGCATGTTAATAGTAAGCAGATGCCCCATTCCCCAGTTACATGAATTAAACAGGGGATGCTTCTATCTCACTGTCACAAAAGAACACAGTTCACTAGGTTATTTCTCTTGGAAGTTCTACGTCAGAAGGTAAGAGTGTTGAGTTCTTGTTACAAATTTTGATGCACAGAAGCTTATACTTTCAAAGGTCTTCTACATTAGGGATTAAGTTTAGCACAAACATAAGGACATAGACTCTTGGGTCCAGTAAGCTTGGGCTTAGCTCTAGTCACCAGCACTCCCTACCAGTGTGACTTAACCTCATTGACCCTCAGTTTCCTGAGAATGATGACAGGACTATTTCACAGCACTGTTGTGAGTCCTGAGTGAGACAATGATTAAATTAACACAGGGCTCAGCACACGGTAAGTGTTCAATATTTGCTGGCCATTATTATATTTATCCACTCATTATTAGAAATTTGGATTTCACTTCCCCCAAGAATGAAAAAACTGAAAGCTTGAAAGAAAAGGGATAGGATTTTAAAAAAATATCCATACAGTCTCCCTTGTACGGATCCCCTTTCATTTCTCCACTCCTCTGTCCCCAGCATTTCTTTCAGAAGCCCAAGGAACTCTCGTTCTGACATACCACATGCAAATCCTGGCCCAGTCTTGGCTTGGATATCCTTTCCTGGACAAAGAATAAGGCAAGATTAGGGGCTAGGAGGGATGGAGAGAGGAATGAGCAGCTCCTATTCTGACTGGTTCTCTTGGGTCAGAGCTCACTCTCAATCTCTCCTCCCCATTCCCTGGTCAGAGTCCTGGGATCCATCTTAAAGTAACTACCTGACAACTTCCTTAGGGAAAAAAGTGTATATATATATCCAAACTATAGCTTTCAATCTTCAATGCAAGTTTGATATTGAAAACAAAGTATGTCACAGTTGGAAACTCAAGAGCATCTAGACAGGAGTTGACAGATGCCTGCAACCTGTGTTTTCCTGCACTGCTCAAAGACCCTGTCCCCAATGAGGACCCAAGGATCTTCTCATCACAGCCCTTCAGGAAGTATCTCAGTGACAGAACTGGGCTCAGGGTCCAGTTCTGGACTCCTGGCCCATCATTCTCTGGAAACCTCCACCCCCATGACAGGTTTTCCGTGGGTCACCATAAGCCTCAGAGGGTCTCAGCATGAAATGAGATGAAGGTGTCTTGGGATACTCAGGCTCTGGAGTTTGTCTGCTAAGCTTTGAATACCTGTTCCACTATTCACTAGCTGTGAATTCACAGGCACATTACTTCACCACTTTCGAACCTGAGTTTTCTCAGTTGTGAAATGGGGGGAAATTATTATAATTTTCCCAAAGGGATGCTGCTGTCAGGATTACATGTATCTAGTGTACTACTTTCTGGCATACAGTAAACTTTCAAAAATGTTAGCCTGCTTTTTGTTGTTGTTGTTGTTGTTATTGTTGTTATTCTGTCAGGATCTTTCTTAGGATACCCACCTAACCTGACATTGTTTGTTTATTTAGAATCCCAAGCAAACAAAGTTAGTCAGACAGCAAACCCATAGGGTCTGCATGAGTACTCACCAAATCAATTATTCCAATGTTATTCCAGCCTTGCATTATAGGGAGAAAAGAGATAAACATGGGGATGACCCAGCAGCCTCCCAGCATTAATGCGATGCGCAGAGGGGTCATCTTGTTCCTATAGACCAGAGGCTGGCAGCAGATGGCATAATACCTGGAGAGAGAATAGAGGGGTGGGTGCCAAGGGAAAGGATAGATGAGAGGGAGAAGGAGGAGGCATAATTCATGAGAGAGTTCAGAGGAGAAGGGAAATAAGAAGACGGAATAGTGGGAAAGGGGAAAATTAGAGGGGGAAGAAGAGAATAAAAATAAAGAAGGAGGAAAAAAGAATGAGAAGGGGGAAATTGGATGAGAGAGTAGTAGAGGAAGGGAGAGAGAAGTGGGAGAACAACAGAGGGAAAAAAAAGCAATTGTACAATAAAATATTGTATTGTCCAGTGAGTTTCTGCTACTATAAATATAAACTTTAGATCACACATATGAGAACCATTACCAGACATTGGTCCCATATCCCTCTTCCTCTCCTGATACCTGAGAAACTCAGCATATACCGGAGAGTCTGCTCTGTCTCAGGCACAGACCTAACACTACCCTCATGCCTAGGAATTTTAAAGGCTACTGCCCAGCTCTCTGGGCATCTGTGTCCAGATATATGCAGTCCTTTTGACAACAATGTGAGGTAACCCAGAGTTGGCCCTACATCTGAGCTCTAAGAACAGTATCTCAAACTTGACCTATCCTCTTGATACCTACATACACTGAGTTGATGCTCTAAGTCAGTGTTCTTTCAATTTTGGTCCAGGGATTCTGCCCTTCCTCTCTATATCAGACTCACCTGAGGAGATCTGCTTAAAATGCAGATTTCAAAGATCTCCTGAAATAGAGCCTGAGGGGGAGAACCTGCAGTTTGCAGTCTGACAAGTGGAAATCATCACTGCTGTTTGCTACGTATGTCCAGTTCCTGGCCTCCTTGTGGTTGAGTGGGGCCAAATGACTATTTTGGCCTGAGTCATGAATAAAATCGACATGTATTATTTCTGGACTGAAGCATTTAATTGTTTCTCTGATACCAAGAAAGTAAAGTTTCAAATATTTCCTGCTCCATCATATCCTACCTACTGGTAGAGACTATCTCATTCCCATTTATCAGGGTCTGATCTCTTTCAGGGGACTCTCTGCTCATGGTTTCCAGAGCTCAGATTCTGCCTTTGTTACTGAAAGTGAAAGTGAAATCACTCAGTCGTGTCTGACTAATTGCGACCCCACAGGCTGCAGCCTACCAGGCTCCTCCGTCCTTGGGATTTTCCAGGAAATAGTATTGGAGTGGGTTGCCATTTCCTTCTCCAAGGGATCTTCCTGACTCAGGGATCGAACCCGGGTCTCCCGCATTGTAGACAGATGCTTTACCATCTGAGCCACCAAGGAAGTCCTGCCTATGGTACTAGCTTTCTTCTTATCTCCAGAGAGAGGTACAACTTGCCCCACTCAATGATCTGGCCTCTAATTCCTAGACTGTTCCTTGTATGTTGTTCCAATCTTGGAGACCATTACTTCCATCCCCAGACAGTTTGCTGAATCTGACAAGAAGTGAAATATCATGGTAAGCCTATCAGCCATTTGTCTTTGGAAAAGTCAAAGAAAAAAATGCAAAAAGACAGCCTGGAGGGCTAAGTCTATTCTTTAAGATTTTACACCATTTAATGATAAGCCACCCCCTTATACCCTTCATTTTATGCAATTCAGTTTGTTAATTTTTACCACCTCTTCCTTTCTTTTCTTAATTTGAAGCCTAACTAATAGAACAAAGGCTATATTCTTTGACAAGCTGGTGGCAGGATGAATTGGGAGAGGGGGTGAAATGAGAAGGAGAGCCCAGTGTTGGAGCATGAGAAGAGAGTGCCATAGGATATGGGAGAGGAGAATTATACCCTTCCCCCCAAGGCACCAAAGAGTAGGTGACCACAGTGCGTCAGGGAACTCTCTGTGCCCAGCAAGACAGTGGAGTGTCCTGGTCTGGACCAGGGTGCAAAGAACAACAAACCAAAGAATGAGAGAGAGAGAGGATTACTCCGGAACTCATTTTCTTTATCTATAAAACTGACATGATAGCCAAATCTAACTAAGGCTAACTCAGTAATGGAAAGAATTACGATTAAGTGGAATTCTCTCACACTCTTGACTTACATAAGAAAGGCAAATTTTTCTGAACGGCTGTATTAATAATCATCAGAGGTTTACTTACAAAAAAGTTGAAGAATTTGGAGTATATGAAAACATAATTTTTTTTTTTTTCAAAAATTGCTCCCTTCCTCACTTCCTACTAGAGGGCCTAGATTAGCTAGATTATATATTGCTTTTGTACATTTACCATCTTCCCTCTTCTTTCTTGGTAATAGCATCCCAAGTCCTTTGGGAATTCTCTTTTCACTTGCTGTTGTATAGTTAGGAAAATAAATGATGTGACTCTGACTTTTCTAGCCAGGGAGTGACCTAATCAGACATTTTCCTGGAACGCTGAATGTCATGCAGAGTGATGCAAAGATGGGAAAGTCAGCAAAGGTCCCTCTATTCCCACAGCTGCCTCCTGTTCTTAGCAGGACTGAGAGCAGCTCCTGTTCCTTAGATATTTGGGCAGTCATGCTCTTGCCCCTTTAGGTTCTCAGTTCTTTAGTTCTTCCTTCAATTAAACAAGCCACCTCATATCTTTCCACTAAATTCCCTTTTTTCAGTTGATGTTATGGGTTGAAATGCGTTTCCCTCTCCCAAAAGATATGCTGAAATCCAAACCTTCAGTGCCTTGGAATATGGACTTACTTGCAAGCAGGTTCTTTAGAGAAGTAATAAAATGAAAATGAGGTGATTAGTATGGGCCTTAATCCAACATGACTGAAATCCTTATAAAAATGGAAAGTTAGACAAGACAGACACACTCAGAGACAAAATGGCAATGTGAAGACAGAGGATTGAAATGACGCTTCAGCAAGCCAAAAAAACACCAAAGAGTGCCAGCAAAACACTTGAAGCTAGGAAGAGGCAAGGAAGAATCTTTTCCCTACAGGTTCAGAGGGAGCAGGGACCTGCTAACACCTTGATTTCAGATGTCAAGTCTCTAAAACTGAGATAATAAATATCCTGTTGTTCCAAGCCACTCAGTTTGTGGTACTTTGTTATGACAGCTCTAGCAAATCCTGCAACGCAGGAGACCCCGGTTCGATTCCTGGATTGGGAAGATCCTCTGGAGAAGGGAAAGGCTACCCACTCCAGCATTCTTTAGCTTTCCTTGTGGCTCAGCTGTTAAAGAATCCACCCATAATGCGGAAGACCTGGATTCGATCCCTAGGTTGGAAAGATCCCCTGGAGAAGGGACAGGCTACCCACTACATTCTGGCCTGGAGAATTCCATGGACTGTATAGTCCATGGGGTCACAGAGTCAGACACAACTGAGTGACTTTCACTTTCACTTTCTTTTCTAAGCCTAGTTTGGCCAAGGTGATTGTCTGATTTCATAGCATAATGAATATCATGTGGACAATAAGATCTCCCCAAGTTCTGCTGTCCAAACATTCAATGCATTAATTTGCATTGTTGTTGTTTACTCACTAAGTCGTATCTGACTCTTTTGTGACTTCATGGACTGTAGCCTGCTAGGGTCCTCTGTTCATGAGATTTTCCAGGCAAGAATACTGGAGTAGGTTGCCATTTCCTTCTCCATGGGAATCTTCCCAACCCAGGGATCGGACCTGTATCTCCTACATTGATGGGTAGATTCTTGACTACTGAGCCACTTAACTTGCGTTGCCCTTGGCTACTTGGAGCTGCTGTTACAGAAATAATGGTGACAGTTTCTTTTTTCAAATTCAACTTTAAGAGGCATCCTGTGGATGCAGTACACATCCTACCTATCACTTACACATTTACATACACAGTCTGTGCTCTGAACAATGAAGGACTGGAATAAAGTTGCTTGGAAAGTTCATTTCCCAGAGGAATAAGGTAGGACATAGTGACAGTTTCATGCACAGACAGCTGTAGAAAGTTACTCTTGCATGATGTGAGGTGGGGGCTTCCCTGGGGCTCAGATGGTAAAGAATCTGCCTGCANGAAAGTTACTCTTGCATGATGTGAGGTGGGGGCTTCCCTGGGGCTCAGATGGTAAAGAATCTGCCTGCAATGTAGGAGACCAAGGTTCAATCCTTGGGTTGGGAAGATCCCCTGGAGAAGGGAATGGCTACCCACTCCAGTATTCTTGCTAGAGAATCCCATGGTCAGAGGAGTCTGGTGGGGTACAGTCCAAAGGGTCACAAAGAGTCAGGCTAATACATACACACAAACTGATGTTAGGTGGTGGAGCAAGCCTAGGAAAAATCCTTTATTTCCTACTATAAAAAATAACAATAAGTAAAGGGGGAAAAAGAATTTTATTTTCTCTGAACTATATTGCTGCTGCTGCTGCTGCTGCTAAGTTGCTTCAGTCATGTCCAACTTTGTGCAGCTCCATAAATGGCAGCCCACCAGGCTCCCCCATTCCTGGGATTCTCCAGGCAAGAACACTGGAGTGGGTTGCATGAAATTGAAAAGTGAAAGTGAAGTCGCTCAGTCGTGTCCAACTCTTAGCGACCCCATGGACTGCAGCCTACCAGGCTCCTCCGTCCATGTGATTTTCCAGGCAAGAGTACTGGAGTGGGGTGCCATTGCCTTCTCCAAACTAGACTGAAATTGTGAATTACAGGTAAGGATGACTAAGAAAAATACTAAATTGTGTCTAAGTATGTGTTTTACTTAAATATTCTCCTCTACACTTTCAATCTGGTGTCATGTCCTACAATAAAAATATGATTTTTAAGTGACATGGAATAGAGACTTTAAGACTAAAAACTATAAGGTTTTTATTTGGAGCTCAAATTAAAGCTCTCACTTGACTTTGTGGGCCCAAGATTCTTACCAAGGCCTTGGGGCCCTTGAGACAGCTGTCATAAATAAGCCACCTCATAACCTTCTAATTTCTTTCCTCATATCTCTCCAATCTTTGCTTTCTAGCAAAGGATCCAGAAAAATAAACATCCTCTTGAAGGATGTAAATTAAGTATGTGAAAATCAATATCACTGAAAAAAATGATGAATAAAAATTGAGTTCCACTATTAACTGACTAATA